GGGGGAGGGGGGAGGGGGGGAGGCAGGGAGACTCAGGACCAGCCGTTTTGGCTCCCTGGCCTCAGTTTCTCCTCTGTCACCGGGGTGTGGATTCGGTGCCAGCAGAGGGGTGCCAGCCCAGTGTCCCCAGTCCCAGGGGACTCAGCTGGTACCCGCTGGGGAGACAGTGGCTGCCGAGGTTAGGACTCTGGGGGAGGACAGTGCGGAGGTGCTGTGTCCCGGCTGTGTTTTCGGCCAGGTTGCGGTTATCACAGACCAGTGCCCGGATGTCATGTGCGAGTCTGATAACACACAAGCTCACATACCCGCACGCTCACCCGGGACCCAGGGAGGCCTGCAGCCGCGGCCACGTAGGCACACGGAGGCAGAGGTCACGGACACTTAGAGGCACCCGGCCCCGCCCCTCAGGTGTCATCCTTAGCCCCCGCTCTCAGCCCCTCCCAGCACCCCCTGCCCCGTGCCTTCCACAGCCAGCAGCCCCGTGCTCTGCAGCCACTCCATCCGTGCTGGCGTCTGTCCTCCCAAGGGGGGGGGGGGGCTGGACAGTCGGGCCCCGCGGGGCTGGCAGCTGGGATGCTGCCCCCCGCCCCCCAGCCGGCCGCCTCCTTCCCCCCCGCTGCTGTGCTCGCGCTCCCTGGCCCCCCGCCTCCCCGCTGGGCAGCTGGTGTGGTGCCCCCTGCCGCCGCCACTGCTTTCTCCGCTGCTGCCCCCAAACCCTGCAGAGCTCACCTTCATGGGGGGGGGGGTGGAATGGGGAGGGGGCGAGAGCAGAGGGAAAGGTCTGGAGATGAGGCGGGGGCAGGTGCAGGGTGAGGTGCAGGACCGGTGGAGGGATGAGGAAGGGAGAGGTGGTGCAGGGGTGGGGTGGGGAGAGGTGGAGGGGTGAGGTAGGGACAGGTGCAGGGGTGGGGTTGGGGGCAGAGGTAGACAGGTGAAGTGGGGAGTTCAGAAACGCGAGGTGGGAAGGATAGGCATGGCGGAGTCCTTTCTCTCAAGACAGGGGTGGCTAAGAAGGAGGGTTTCTGGTGGGCGTGGCTGGGGTCCCCAGTGTCCTGGGGCAATGGGAGCCAAGGTTGGTTCTGACCCCCACCCCCTCCCCTCTACCTCCCTCCCCTGCCCAGATCCCGGCAGCGGCTCCGCTGAAGGGCCCAGGCCCCTCCTCGTCCCCGTCACTACCTC